CACAAATAGAATGTGACGGGGTTAAACATGTTTACTGTTGCCAAACTTTCCCTCTAACCTGGGACAGTGGTGTAATAGTACGAAATAAGAACAAACTATAAAAATCATTAAAAAAGGACTTAACAGATCGATACGAAACCTTAACAAAACACAACAAAAACACAAAGTACATGTACATGTATAAATGTATTCGGAGTTACTTAAAGCTAATTAAAAGTCAATAACAAATAATAAAAATCATGTATCTAAGATAACTCCGCATATCATCTAAATGTTAGATTTTTAACAAAAACAGCTCAATATGATTGTCACTTTAATATCAACTATATTTTTTTTTTAAATTAAGAAGTTGATGTTGTCACTTTCCTTCAAATTACAGCTCAAATTAAACATTATGAATAAGGTATTGATTGACTTTGCAACATGTATATAATATGCCTACCAGTCAAATTTTTTTGCGAAAACTCAAAAACTACTCCACTACGAGAAATTGGCATTGCACTAGCTGTCAGTAACTGCGAGTATTCTCAGATCTGTACTTAGTGTATTATATTGTTTTCATTATTTACAGAGAAAACATTCGCGAAAAAAAAACGTCAGCTCTTTCCTAACAACAATTTTCCGAGTGTTCCACAAAGTCCTTAGGATAACGCATTTTTTTTTCAAAATCTACCTTTTTCCGCAACTTAGTTTTAGAACACGCCGGACATGACATAGTGAGACTCACTGGAACATTTGATATAAAAATATTGTTTTGGGGTGAACGTAACGATTTTTAGAGTCTGTTCAGATAAAAAAGACTTAAGGTATATATTTTTAGGAAAAAGATAATTCGTAGAGAGATTTTTTTCTATTTCTTAAACAATTTTAAGATTATGTCGTCTCGGTGTTTGTATATGTTTGCGCGATTTTCTTGATGTGGTGACATTCAAAATTTATATCGGAATGAGATCTGTTTGAATTGCATAGTGACTTATATTCAAAAGATTATTCTTTGTTGTGAATCCATCGATTTTGTTGATATTTTTGCCTAAACTATCTGGTTTAGCTTCATACGCAAACGGATATCAAGCGTTTTCTTCTGACGTAAACGGCCAATAAACATAGAAATTGAGGTTATACCATGAGGAATTTATTCGCATAGCTATTTGACACAACTCTTATATAGGCTGCTGTTTTCACCTGCTATATTAATAACATATATTTAGAAATTATAAAACTTTGTAGAAATTCTGTTTTATCTGAACTTGTTTTCGTCATGAGCACATTTTCTTGTGAACTTATAATCCATAGCTTCCTCGCAGAAAAGGACTTACAGTAACATTGAAAACGTTGTATGTCAGTGTTTGAAATGCAATAATTGTTTGTCTCTATATTTCCCAATGTAATGAGCTCCTTATCTATGCATGATATAAACTCGACGTTTTTCAAGTAATATTATGACCATATATTTTCTGTTAAAAATATTTAATAAAAAAAAATCTACCGGCTTAGTTATTCAGGCGGAAACCCAGTTGAAATTAAACAAAATAAATGGAACTCTTTGTTAGAGAAGGTAAAAAAGGCGAATTTGGTAAATTTGAATTATTTACATCTGTTTCTATGGGCTTTAAAAGTTTAATGAATGTGCCTAATTTAGGATTTTATGCATCTTATTTACATTGTATGTGTTTTTACTTAAATTATTGAATTGAGCTTCGAGATATTTGTAAAAATTTAAATTATAGACAAATTTTCACAAAACAGTCGATTGTGGTAGGTGCAAATTCTTGTGGATCTTTTTTGTGCATAAGCATAAATTCCGCCGAAAAAAATTTGAAAGAAAGATAATAGATTTATCTTTTTAAAGCATCAAATTGCATCTCTGCCCCGGTAACAGTTTTTTTTTTTTTAAATCCCCAAAATAGGCAATAATAAAAGAGAAAGTCGAGTACACCTCTTTAGGTTCAGGCGTGTTTCAGTTGACTATTCTGTCTTGAAAACGTATAAAAGAAAAATATTTGATACATCATCTCGCTTCAGATTCTATTATTTTTATATATTTAGGCTGTAGGTTGATCCAATAACATTAAAAATTTACAGTACTAAAAGATGAAATATATGGGTCAATTGAAATACCTTTCTAATGAGTCATAATAACAGAGTAGGTGTGTTCGAATAACAAATTTTTACTAGAAGTATTTGACGACAAACTTTTCTGGTGGATCTTAAAAATGCATAACTTCAAAAAAAATCCATTTTTTGTGTGTGTTATCTAGGGTAATTAGTCTTCAACCTCTGAAATTTTTTAGTCTGCCATTCCACGAAATATTTAATTATAATTTTTTTAAATATTTTTGAACTTTCGAAAATTCCTCCTGACAACCGATCAGACAATAGTTTTAAGTTGACCAAATGCATAAAAGTACATTAAATGATGCTCACTAGCTAGTAGATACATTTGTCTATTAAAAGACAACAGGCATGTAAGGATCGTAATGATACTATGTGGACAAACTTTTCTGGTGGATCTTAAAAATGCATAACTTCAAAAAAAAATCCATTTTTTGTGTGTGTTATCTAGGGTAATTAGTCTTCAACCTCTGAATTTTTTTAGTCTGCCATTCCACGAAATATTTAATTAGAATTTTTTAAAATATTTTTGAACTTTCGAAAATTCCTCCTGACAACCGATCAGACAATAGTTTTAAGTTGACCAAATGCATAAAAGTACATTAAATGATGCTCACTAGCTAGTAGATACATTTGGCTATTAAAAGACAGAAGGCCTGTAAGGATCGTAATGATACTATGTGGATAAATTTATCGGTTTTCAAGAGCTAAATTGACAGCGCGTCATCACTACAATGGCTTCCATTTTTACGATTATAAAAATTAGGTAGCGTAATCGGGAGATAATTTTGACGAAGTAGAATCATGACTGTATTGGAGATCTAAAGATGGACAATTATCTTTATGGTTCGCTGAAGGCAAATAACAACAAACACAAGTAATAATCATGCAGGCCACAAATGTGAAAGTTATTATCTAAATTTCAAATGAAAAGATACATGTATAAAATTTAGCATACACTACAATTATAACTACCAATTGTAAATTTTAATATACAATACTTTTAGTACAATCTCAACCCATAAAAGCATATTTTGTAATAAGTTAAAAAGACAAATGTCATCAATTATTAAAATCTAAAATTTTGAAAAGCCAAATAATAAGAGTTATCTCCCCTTAACTATAAATTTGCTAATAATAGTGTAACATCCCAACTTTTGGGAGCAGATACCGCAATAACGTATGAAAGTCTCTTGGAGCTGAAAACGCTGCCCCAAAGGGAACCTGCATCAACCGTCATCTAAACAAAGCATGTTTTAAGGGGCATATATAACGATTCACTGCCTCTCTACAATCTGATATCTAACTAAGATCCCTAAATTTAAAATTAGAAAATATGTTGCCGGTGCAACAGAATTCCAAGATATTATACACAATACACAATATATAATATACAAGACAAATGAACCGAAGTTATTGTAATGAAACTTTGTACAATTGAGCTGATACAAAGTACTAACAAGAAATTTTTGTGACTCGTGAAACGATTTTAAGCTCCATCTCTCATAATATTTTTTCAACGAAGAGTATAGCAAAACGATACTAGTAAAGGCTATTGTATGCCTCACCAAAAACTCATCTGATACAATTTACCAACATTTAATCTAAGTAGAATACTATTGCTTGAAATATAAACCATACTAAAATGATACGATTTACGTCCATTGTATTCAACAAATGTATTGAAATTGTATAATAGAAAGAAACAATTTACAGACATTGTGTCCCACAAATGTATCTTATTGATATAAAAAAATTTTATACTAAAAGGATACAATATACAGACATTGTGTCCCACGTATGTATATCATTGATACAAACGAATATATACTAAAAGGACACTATTTACATATATTGTGTCCCACGAATGTATCTCATTGATACAAACAAAATTATATATACTAAAAGGACACAATTTACAGACATTGTGTCCCACATATGTATCTCATTGATACAAACGAAAAATATACTAAAAGGAAACATTTTACAGACATTATGTCCCACATATGTATCTCATTGATACAAACGAAAATATATACTAATGCTTATGATTTGGAGTCTCATATCATGTTTTCTTTCTTTGTGCACTGATTTCAGTACCTTATCAATAATAAATGAGTCAGTTGGGTCAGGCCAATGATTAATCTTGTGTGTAAAACCTATTACTGATACATATGTTGAGATAGAACTTGATGAAAAGGCTTTGTTTTTCAAATGTGCTATAAATAATATGAGATCTGAACTACTAATAGGTAACTGAAATTTAATGCCATATTCTCTAGCAAAACTCTTGTAATGAACAAGTGCTCTTCTATAAGTTTTTTGTGAAGATTCAGATAAAATGTTGTTGAAAATTTCTTTTAATGGTTTCTGCAGCTTGGCAAATCTGGCAAATTGGGAACTGGTGTGGGAACAAATTCTGCCTGTGGTGCTTACTGAACAAATGTCTGTACCTGTTGACGAGAGAGTGCATCTGCTAATATATTTTTTGGTCCATATATGTATTCGGCCTTAAATTTCACATTGTTTCTCAGTCAGTGTAGTACTAGTCTCAGAAACATAATTAACACATTTTTTGATGTTTGTTTGTTAATTATAGCAACTAAATCTATGTTGTCTGTGTGAAAATGTATGCACTGTTTTTTGAATTGATACCCCCATATTTCAAATACCAACACTCTAGGATAAAGCTCCAAAAATGCAATATTTTGTTTTTGCCATTCTGGGTTTCATTGCAAAGAACCAATGTGAACCAAACAAAGCACCATAACCATGTGTACCAGATGCAGATCAAATGTAACTGATCAGACGTTAACCAACGGTCTGATAAAATCAATGACTTCCAGTTAAAATTATTTAAAAATTTAAGCCATGTATTGAGATCTTACCTTACTGATTCCGTAATCCAAATTCTATGAAAGGACTTTTTGATCCCAATTGTTAAATCTATTAGTCTTCTCAGAAATGCCCTTCGTGGTATAACGACTGCACATGCGAAGTTCAGTGAAGATCCCTCAATGTAATTTTTCCTTTTGTGATACTACATTTATAAGGTTATGACATTTGACAAGCTTATCCATGGGAAGTCTAACTTCCATTAACCTAGTGTGGATTTCATAACTAATAAAACTCATGACCTGTGATGGCTGGAATGTCTTTTCTTTTGACATTGGTATACCCATACCATTGCAAACTGCAAGAAAAACTTTCTAATTTCTTCTTTTGCTGACTGCTGTTTTTTCAACTATCATGAAGTCATCTAAAATATGTACAATATTTGGAATCAATATTTTATTTTTGGCAATCCATTCAAGTGATGTGCTAAAACTTTCAAATATCTGACAACTAAAATTCTAACAATTCTAAATGAACTGGATATGTCTGTTTTTGAACAGTAACTTTTTCTCCCGACAATCTTTATTAATTCTATTGCATCTTGAATGGAAGCATATTGTATACTGCAATTTCCTTGTGGTATACTGCCGTTGATTGATGACCTCGGGAAAAGATAAATGATGGATCATTCTATATGACCCTGGCGTTTTCTTTTCTGCTAGGCCAAGAGGGGGTAAGTGCATCTCTGTAAAAAGGTTTGGAATCAAAAGGACCAACAAATCTATTAGCATCAATTTCATTTTGAATTTTTTGCCTTACAATATCTGGTTTAGTCTTTGCTGATAACAAATTATCAACTATATTTTGATGAACAGAATCTCTAAATCCTACGTCAAACCCCAATTAAAACCCCATAACTAAGTAGTTGTACGTTTTACTATTATATCCTTTCAACCAATATGAAAGCCTGTCAACCTTAACTGGTGTACTGCTGTTTGAATTAAAGTTAACGTCATTTTTTGTGGGGAGAGGTTTTTCTGTCCTTGTAAAGGAGGCATTGTCTCTGCTACTAGATTGGGATTGTATTCTATATTCGACTCAAAAGGGCTGATTGTTGCAACCTTGTTGTATCTTGTTGCTATTTTGGGTGAACCTATATGGGAGACGAACTGGTTTTTCGCACGTAGAAAAAGAGTGGTTGAAACCACAATTAAAACATCTGTGTTGAAACTTGCACTTGTCACCGAACTTACAACCTAAACTCTTGTGAAATGAAAAGCAGACTCTGATTGACCAGCAATTACTGACATCTTTGTTTGTGTTGTCATTCCCAGATTTCACATGTGTTTGCAATTTTCCTCGGAGGTATAGCTCTCAGTGTATGGATCCCCATTGTGCTTCCCCTCTTTCAATTAATTTTTGAAATTCAAAATCATAAAATTGCCAATTACCCGCTTCCCTTGACATTTCTAGGATTATTTCCATGTGGTGTGGAATTATTGACCCTAATTCAGGGTTTTTGTACAGATTATAGCGGTATTATTCCATGCAGATAGCTACTGATTAAGGGCTAATGTTTTCCTGTTCCTCTCCTCTGTTATTGATAATTCTGGGTTGTCGGCCCCATTAAGTTACTACCTGTACCATGAATATGTATCGACATTTTGATTGTCATTCTGCAGCAAATTTTCTAACGGACGTTTTTCAAAGATTATAAAAATTACGATGACGGTTCGGAAACGTATTCGTTTCCGCTTTCTAATTTAATCTTATTGCACAAATATCTAACTGCCTCTCGTAGTGACTTGAACAAATGGTATCAACCTTTCATATTAAATGTACTCCGTCGTCGCTAAATTTATCTTCGCAAGAGTTCCTGCTTGTGCTGTTAAAGGAAAATCGTTTGTTATGTTCCCAAAAAATGAAGTTCGAATATTTTTCAACCTCGTCTTTTATGATTTTATTGATATTTTGTGCCTTTTCGTAATACATGCTCTTGTAGACCCGAGCTCGAGTTCTTCGCTCAAAACGTTTGTATCCAAATTTACTAAATCTGACATTTGCCCCTGAGAAGCGTGGCATGAGAGCGAGAATTACTACGTACACATATCGAACGCCATACGTGTTTGTTAGGAGCAAGCAGAAACTTAATAATTTATATGCCACTTCCTCGACAGACGTGTCCTCTGTTACATCATTACCACCAGCTAGCAGTACGACACATTCGATTTTTACTATGGCCATGTCAAACTTCATCATTTTGTGAACAGTTCTTCCTCCAATGCCGTGCTATATATTGCTATCATTTATCACCGAGATATAAAACACTACTATGTACACAAAACAAATAAAACATAAGAATTTTCATTGTACAATAAAGAAACCTATGTTGCACTTTAGTGGATTTACGATTATAACTATAAAACATAAATTGATTCAAACTAGATAATTTATAATCTGTTTTGTTCAAGATATTTTGATTGAAGGCCCAATTCCTGCATTATAATTTCCCTTAGTGGGCTTTGGGAGGAATGATACATATTTAATGGATGGATGATTCAAGTTAAATATAACAAAAGCGTGATTATTTCAGATGTATATTTCCTGTTTGTTATTGCAAAAAAGCATTAACGAACAAATTTAGATGGGCTCAAAAACGAAAATAATAATGTTACTCAACAACTCCAAATACTATTATCGTGTCCTTTTGCTCAAACATTTAATTGAATTTTTCTTTCAAGCATGGGGTATGAGCGCTTTTTATGTATTCATCCTAACACTGTATTACTTCCATATATATATAAACAAATCATATCATGTATATTTTTTTAGAACTAGTAAGACATCTGGTTCGTAAGTACATCTTTGTGTTAACAAAAGATAAATAATTTGTGTCAAACAAATGGAATAAAATATTTTTCAAACTCAGAAAATTACAAGGAGCGTTCACAGCAAACAAAATGCATATACACTCAAAGAATTGTGTTTAGACCCTGAACACTTTGTATAACGGGTGCCACATGTGGAGCAGGATCTGCTTACCCTTCCGGAGCACCTGTGATCACCCCCAGTTTTTGGTGGGGTTCGTGTTGCTTAGTCTTTAGTTTTCTATGTTGTGTCAACTTGTACTATTATTTGTCTGTTTGTCTTTCTTTTTTTTTTGGCCATGGCGTTGTCAGTTTGTTTTCGATCTATGAGTTTGACTGTCCCTCTGGTATCTTTCGTCCCTCTTTTGTATAACATGTTTTACCTAAATATGTTTAGGATAATGTTGAAATCCTATACACATAAAATGAACACACGTTCTTTAGCTAAATATGTTTATCTTCAAAGCATGATAGGACATTAATGTGTTTAATTAGAATATGTATATTATATCATATCTATCAAATCTATAATCCTTCCAAAACCTTGAGGCATAAACATATCGTTTTACACAAAGAAGCAGTGTGGTCAGCTATTATCACAGAAACGAGTTCTAACGAACAAGAAGAAGCCAAAATTGCATTGTAAGTATTCATTTGTTCTTTTGTTTAGTTATTTCTGCCCTACTTAGTATGCAACAGCATTTAATTCATACGAAGTTGAATTAGTTATATTATACTAAGGTTAGATATATTTTTGATAGTTAGATAAAAACTGTCAATTAAGGTCAAGGCTTATCATGGTACATGTTACCTCTGTCTGTTTGGATATAAATAAGAAGTATTCTTATTAATATCACGGCTGCTGTAAGTGAAAATTGTACTCGTGAATGTACCGTCAGTGAAAAGTTGGATGAACAAAAAAACTAACAATTATTTATAGTAGCTTCATAACCTTTCGAAGTTTCAGAAAATTGAGTTCTTTCTATTTCCTTTCTGAATGTTGATATTAAAAAATCTTTAATAGAAATATAGATGTTTGATTTAAAGTACGTCGGTATGATTGTATTTTTTTTTTCTAAATTAATCACGTTACATACACACCATCCTCTCCTGATTTGTGAAGTGATTTTATTTAAAGTGTAAAAAGTCAAGATTATTTATTTATTATCAGTTATTCTATGCAATGGGAAGCTCTACGTAAAAGAAGTTGTGTTCAGGATTGTGAAAGAAAAAGGGGTGAGTCAATCAAATGGTTTTCTCTCGTTCAGTGTAAAGCCTAAACAGGACGACCATTCAACCGCATGTACATGCTAGGATTTAAAAAAAATATAACAGTGCCTTGAATGTTTCGAAATGTCTAGCAAAGAAATTTGGGAAAAATCCAACCAAAATTTTTGAAAGTAACTCCATGAAATGTGAAAGTAAACATTCATGCCGCATTGTCGTGAAAAGAAGAAGAAAAATAAATCAAGGCAACAGTTAAATAGTTGTGCTAGAAAATGATTTGAACACATACAAATTGCATTTTCACTATATATTAACATTCAAACTGAAGTTTTGCTACTATTCTAAGATCAGTTAACTTACTATGGAAAGAAATTTAAAAAATATTTGGTTGCGAATTTATAGTCATTCAATTTTACATCTTACTTTATTTATTTTTTAGTTCATATACAAAATATCAATCTAATTATTATTAGTTTTAGAATTTGAAAGATACTCGACAATGGACAATGTCTACGGATGTCTTGTTCGTCAGAAGATTAGCTTTGAAATTTGCAAGGTGATCAAAGGTAACTAAAACTTTTTTCTTATGTTGCTTGAGTCTGCTGTTATGAAATCCTGTTCATTTGCTCACATAGATATATGAATAACGCATACAACTCATAAACTTTTCTTTTAATTGCTAGTCCTTAAGCCATGATCATTAAAGGGAATTTGACCAAACTTGTACATAGTAAATTCCCAAGGTGCCTTGTATTTAATGCGTCAGCATTTAAACCAAATTGATTAAAAAGGCGTGCATGTCAAGAATATAAAGCTTTTGTATATATATAAAGGCAACAGTAGTATACTGGTGTTCAAAAGTCATAAATCGATTGAGAGAAAACAAATCCGGCTTACAAACTAAAACCGAGAAAAACACATCAACTATAAGAGGAAAACAAAGGAACAACAGGACCACTGAAGTGCAATAAAAACAAACGCCAACATACATAGAAACGAACTATTTGATAACAACTGCCATATTCCTGACTTGGTGCAGGACATTTTAAGAAAAAATGGTGGGTTGAACCTGGTTTTATGGCTAACCAAACCTCCCGCTTATATGACAATGTTAAAAAGTATCGCCAAAATGACAACACTACGTGACAGAAATACAGCACAAACACACGCAAGAACACTCATCACAGAGAAACGCACAAACAAATATTATTATAGTCGACACAACATGCAAACAGCAGAACAACAACGAACATCTTCCATCAACGACATACACCACAAACAGTGACGCACTTACGTAACGAACATGCAATCTCGAACTTTATACAATTATTTTCACAATACCAGTCCAAACAATTTCATGACAATGATGGTATTGAAAGGCAATTTTATAATTATTTGGACTACAAACGATAAGACATAACACATTATCGAACCGAAACCATAACAGAAACATCAAAAATAAATACATGAATGTTGGATGTACAAAATACCGAGACACGTCGTATAGCAATGCAAATTCGGTATAACAGTCATATTCGGGAATAGGTCATGTTCGGTATTTAGCAGACAGACGACATAGATGTTAAACCACAATCTAAGACGTGGTAAAAATGTCATTACTTAGTTTAGACACAGACACATCGTATAGATCAACCAATTTTTGATGGTGTCCATAAAATTTACGGAGTGTCATATTTTATCTGTCCTCCTCATAACTCTGTTGGAGCAGTTTCTGCGTAAGGAGCACACTCCTGCATTTGAAGTCAGTATAGTGTGAACATGCACGAGCATAACGTATCAATTGAGACATGTAAACACTATACGACGGAGCAGAGGGTATGTTACTGCTGAGAAATGGGAAATTGATAATTGGGAAGTTGAAATCATCCCGTTTGTCATAGATTTTAGTGTGAAGTCGTCCATCTGTGTCAATATTGAGGAAAAGATCAAGGTATGAAGCAGTCTTTCTTGTATCAGTAGTATCCTTAATTTCAAGTTCACTGGCATATATGAGATGCAAGTACTGGCTGAAATATACGTGCCAAAGCTAAATGTAAAAAATACCATCATGCCATATTATGATATATCAGAAATCAGTTTTTAGTAAAATATCATATGTTCAAATTTTTATAGGATGATATGACAGACAGTGCTAAGGCCAAAGCTATCAGTCATATAAACACATTACAAGGTAAGATACCAAATGTATATATTAATTCTACTCAGTTGCTGTCATTTTCATATTTTTGAATTAATTTCTTGTGTCAAATAATAACGTTATAGAAATGTTGCATGGGAAACTGTAATTTTGATTGGTAGACCACAATCATGAGTCAATCAAGAATAATACTATATTTTCCAGTACAATGCAGCATCCATGACTGCACGTGACAACACTGCATAGAGAAATAAACGAAAATCTTGATTTAACTTGTAATTTCATGGTTTTATCATATAATTGCTATTATAAGTATTGAGTGTTTTGATCGTGAGCACATTTTAAGTATAAAGCGCTCCGTGCTTCATACAAAATATGCTTTAGTCAACGCTTTCACACCCCAATTAAATTACAAAAAGAATTCTTCAATTCTTGAAAAATAAGATTTACAGTCAGAAGTCAGCTGTTAGAAAGACTTGCAGAAAATGGTTGCAATATACAATGTAAATAGATCAATAGACTTTTAGCAATTGAAAATGAAGACAACTCCATAAATAACTGTTTTGTTGGTGGTTGGGGAATACATATTGACTAGGAAAGGAAGCATAGACTTTACTAACAAAACTCTTATATTCTTACTGTGACCTGACATACCACAAACAGTATCAGCTGTTGGGATTCAAACATGGCACACCGTTCTCACGATAGTTGATGGTATATCTTTCTTGGTGGCAATTGTCGGCTACTGTGTACGAATGAACCGCTATAGTACAACAGTACCGAGACGAAGGACGTTTTGCTAACCAGGAAGTGCGCTCATTCAACTGGATTTAAGAAATGTTTTATTTATGTATGTAAATGTACCGGTATATGTATATCTGATATAAAGGAAACTTCGATTTAAAATTTTTCTGAAATGCACAAGCTAGTAATATGATTTTCGGCATCTGAATTAGTCCTTACTGTGTTCACATTGTAAAATTATTTCAATGTCGATTAAGTTATTTTCCTTTCGTCTTTGCTGAAAAGTTGTCTAATTCGCAATTATACCACATCTCATTATTTTTATAACAGTTGTAGCGATCTGCAGACATTTCTGGATTGTGGTAATTTTGTCAAACAATATATAAGTTTACTGTTTATTTTGTGAGCAATCATTGACCATAACTTTGAATAGGGAAATATGTGTTGTTAATATACACGAATGTTTAAAAATTAGAAGAAAAAAATTGTTCAACATATCTTTCATTACGGTTCTCTACTTTAAAAATTGATGAAATGCCTTCAACAATGAACACATGGATAGAGGGCTATGTAAAGGTCACAGCCACTTGAGTACCCCTAAGTGTTTATAAATGCATGACAAGTAATATGTATAGGTTGATGTTTAGGCAAAACAGGTACACAAAATAAACTTTCAAATGGGTAAACAAATGATTCGTTCTCCCGAGTAAAGGACTGCCTATTTACCCGTTATATCCAGGACTTCCCGAGGACTCAGGTCATAATTTTTTCACAAGTAAAAAATGTGTGAAATCCACTATTACATGCCCAAATGAAATACGTTACGTATTGAGTATCCTCAGCAGCTAGGTGTTAATACGTAGCAGATCCGAGAGTCACTATTTCATCGGTTGTAGTCTGATGAGTTGAAATTTCACATTACCACTGGTAAAATATATTTTCACACTGTAAACCATGTGATGTATTTTTGATAAGCTGCGTTCGTATATACAGTAAAATAGAACAGCTATTTGGATACATCAAATCATCTATCACAACATTAGATAGTAGCATCAAACATTTTCAGGTACTAGTACATGTTTTGGAAATTAATTCTAAAATAGCTTAAATTCTTAGTCAAATATTTTGTCAACATGACAAGTGATTAAATGCATAAATGAAGATATTAAAGTTATGAGCAGTGCAGTCATTTTGTGTAAAAAGATACATTACCTAGCGTACAGCTCAACTATTTTACCAAACAAAGATTTTTAAAATCATTTTACAATTACATAGCGTAACACTTAGCTTTTGTTTAATGACTGGTGTATGCACTGGTGTGTTAAATACTTCCTTAAATAATTTAGAAAAACCATAAAATCACAGTTTTCCTGTCCTGATTAACATATTTAACGAAGTTATATTTGCTTGATATGACGACTCTGGGAATTGTTTTTGTTGTTTTATTCGTTTCATTGACTTTCCAGTACATAAATGGTATGTAATTCATAAATATTATTGTTTTAAATTGTGAATTCTATAAATTGATACCCGAGTTTTCTTACATCATTCAATATATCAATCAAAATATTTTTGCGTTATCTTAAATGCAGCATTTCAAACTATTCATGATGATGGTCCAAATTTGATTCTGTAATTCTAAGCACATTTATACAAATGCTTTTTTAAGACCATTACACAATTCATAAGACCCATTTACAGGCAAATTGTTAGAATTGAATACAATGTCTTAAGTCGAGAATAGGCTTTGCCGAAATTTGCCAAAAAAATGACAGCATGAGAATTTTTTACGGTTTGAAATTTGCCCATTGTTGAAGGCAGTACGATCACATGGAATTTTACACATCTTTGACCTTAGGTCTTTATGGATAGTTGTTTCTTTTCTATCATATAACATCTCCTTATTTTCATATCCATCAAGAAGTCAATATTTCAGGTCTTCGGACTTCCTTTTTCTGAATTATGATGCCAGTTTTGTGTAACACTCTCAAGTGTAAACTTTTTCCCATCAACAGCCGCCAAAGACATATCCAGTTTTGAAGTAACGAACGTGTCCTTTTTAGCCGAAACGTGTCTGTTTTTGTTTTCGTTCAAACATATCCATTTCATGCTGATAGATAATTCGACAAATACTCAATAGAATATTCTCTATATATATGGGAATACAAATGTATAGCAAAATGCATTTACTGTCCAAAAGTATCAGTGATGTACGAACGCCCATTTAAGACCTTCCATATATCTGATTTAATTTGAGATTATGATTCTAAAAATTCGTTATCACTTATAATAAAAAAGTTAATTTATATTTCCTTTATTTTGGATTAGATCTTTGGTAATTTATGCTTAAATTTGTTTTATGAACCATATGCATACAATTCGTGATAACGATTTTAATTCGACTTTTTATATTCGTGATCTTGAATTTAAATTATTTTTTTTTTTTGGCAGGTCCTAAATGATCTTCTGTCCCCATGGAGACTCTGATTTAAGATTAAAAAAAATAAACACATAATTCGTGACTTCGGATAAAGTTCATGGTGACGAATTCATAATAACAAATGAAATCAGTGAAAACTATTTTCTTAGTTTTGTAAACACGAATTTAGTCGTAATAACGAAATACAAAATCCGTATTACCAATTCTAATACGTAATTTCGATTTATAAAAATTATGATCTAAAATTCAAATTATATTTTAAGGAGGTCCTGAATTGTCATCCGTAATCAAATCCAAATCCTGGTGAAAAGAGAACATTTGAATTTCATTATTTATCCTGACAATCAGTTAGTACCTGGACTCTCAATGTCAAAACTTGAAATTGATAAGTTTTCTACTTTTCAATGATAATTATGCTTTTGAAGTATACTTTGATTGCATCGTTTGATGAACCAGGATGTTTTTCTCATAATAAAAGGTTTATCATGCATGAGCGGGCGATGGAACAGATAACCTCTCTGTTTGGTGTAAAGTAAAGTTGTGATAACGAATCTGAGGAATAAACCACCACAGTGTTTTTGTCATTCGTCAACACGAATTAAATTTATAAACATTTGTGATGACTACATTTTTGTAATTCCTTCCATTTTTTATCACGAATTCAATCCGAATAATACAATTCGTGATAGCGATTCTTTTGGTCCATATTCTTCTGGAAAGTATAGCGACTATGTCTTATGTCGTGAATTGATAGTATAACAAACATTTAAACATTTTCACTTTCTGATAAAATGTGTTCAGACAATATATTAGACACTGCCCAAGTGAGTTTTTGGATCGAGGTTGTGTGCAATATTTTGACAGGAAGCGACCATAATATGATATAATTCATTTAATTAGGTATAATCAGAGATGTTTTAAACCTTCCGGAGCACCTGTGATCACCCCCAGTTAATGATGGTGCTTGTGTTGCTCAGTCTTTAGCTTTCTATGTTGTGTTTTGTGTACTGTTGTTTGTCTTTTCGTCGTTTTTTTTTTGTTTTTTTTTGCCAAGGCAATATCAGTTTACTTTCGACTTATGAGTTTAAATATCCTTTTGGTATCTTTCGCCGCTCTTTTACTGCCATTATTTCTTTTGCTTTTATGAATATAAAAATTGTTATAATTGTCTTTTTAGTCACTGGTTTATTTTAAATGCAAGTATATGTAATTCGATTCCTGTCAGATATTGCTAGTGTAGATTCGTGTCGCGAATACTGCATGCATAAAAGTAGACGCTTACCCTCTCGACGCACCAAGTCTCGTTTCGTTAGGAGTTTATGAGATTTCCTCGAGTTTTTTTTTTTATTTTGATTTGCATATTTCTGTAAAAGGATTTACGATATTTGAATGTTGTCTTTAACCTTAAATTCTGCGTGAAGAGTGTTGTCATTTTCAATGTTTAACTTGTGACATCCATTTAAATTCTGAATTCCTTTAATTGATCCTTTTTTGTAAATATTGTTCAATCAAGACTTAAAGAAATTGTTCAGATATAAATAACATAGTGCCTGTACCAAGTCAGGAATATGGCAGTTGTTTTTCACTAGTTCCGTCGATTGATAGCGTTTGATTTTGTCAGTTTTTATGGACTTCCCCTTTTTAATTTGCTTTGGAGTTCGGTATTTTTGTTATACTTTTATATTTCATCAAATATTTTAAATGTGTGTGATATATTATTCTGTCAAGCGAGAAAACGCCATTTTGCAATCTCTGTATCTGACTGGAATATATGATTTTTGAAATTTTCAGTTTTAGAAAAGACTAGAAACTGAAATCGTAATGCATTTGAAGCTGTTTTGAGATAATCGAATTTGGCGGACAACTATATAAGCTAATCTTAATTGCACAATCTAACTGGTTACTGGTTTTACAATTTATAGATACATTGTACTCCAGGCAAAATTTTGTATTCGATTTTTTCTTTTTCAATAGATTATTCAATCTTTAGCTGTTAATGCACAAAGTGGATCAGTCCTCGTTCGGAATGTCTGTTATTGTGATATTACAAAAGCGAAAAACGCAAATTGTCTCACGTACTGTCTAATTTAACTCTTTGCTTTGTGTTGAGTTTCTGTTGATTGTTTCTCCATTCACTATCATTGTACATGCCAAAACCAAAGTTAACTGGTACTCCTTAGTAACGTTACACTTATTGTCTACAATCGAGCAAGGAAACAGAATGTTTAAAATTGAAAATAATAACCTGACGCTCGAATTAATTGTACTTATGTTTAAACAAATTACGACGAGCTGTCAAAAACACTCTTTAAAACTATTTTTATATTTTGTTTCATAAAAAAAATAGGTCGTCAGATCTGTTTACCTTGATCTTAAAGGTTATTTCAAATGAAATATTATCCAAAGATCTGATTTGCCTTTGATTGTGTGTTCTTTGGAATATGTGTGCTTTGTCTGCGTCCTATACCGTTGTTTAAAAGAATTCTACGCAATTTTTTTTTAGATCTATGGACAAAGTGTAGTAGTCAGCCGAGAACCCACATATTTTTCGAGTTGAAACTTAAACATAGTAATTGCAACTGTTCATCCGGATGAATATATATGTCGGTTTCTTATAATTGTATTCAGATCTATAGATACAAGTATGATGGCAAACAGACATGCTATTTGATAACCTGAAGTAACAATGTCTTTTGAAGATTTTTTATTCAAGTAGGTAAATCAAATCTTAATGCCAAATTTGCTAAAGTTTTCGGTTTACCCTACAAACAGAATATAAGAATGATAGTTTTATAATATATACACGAAGGTGGAAAGTATCAGTACCTTGTTGTAATATTTTATGCGGTACGAATAATATGAAACACCAAATTGGTGCTGATTGGCTATCATTTCAACTATTTCCTGTCATTCTTTTTTATTTATAATTTTCCATCATATTATATACACATAACCATCCAAACATAAAGAAAACATTTTTTCTATATTCATGACCATGATATTGCAAGTATACAATATGGACATTTTTTACTTAAAATTACAATGCTTCTTCTTGTAATTTTTTTGAGATGTAAAAGCATTGACCGAAGCACCTTTTGTATGAAACGGTTTTACACCCCTATACAATTACAAGTTAAGCATTTAATTTATATTGTTACATTCTTATGTTGTAACAATGAATATATAAAGAGTAAAAACAAGCTTTTCGTTTTTTCCTGTACACTGATGTAACGTCATCATGATTAGCACGTGCAGTCATCGATACAGAATGTTATTGGGAAATCAAATATAATTTTGTAATGACTCGCGATTGTTTTGGCCAATAAAAATAACATATCCTATGAAACATTAAAGTTAATATAAATATTTGACAACATTTTGTTACATGCTTTTAATAATTCAATTGCAGCTGAAATATGTGACGAATATGCTGTCAGTGAATACTTTTGTGATATGGGATCATGTTGTAAAATAGATGGTACATGGGAGTGTATTAATGACGAAAAGGACACCTCTAAATGTGAAGAGTAAGTCAAGTACATTTGATGCGTTTTGAATTCATTTCTTACTGGTAAATTCAAAAACTCTTTCCAAAAATGTTCTATGTGATATAAATGGGCATATACCGACTAAATCAATCAGGTTATACAGTTTCGGATGATCCTTACGTCAATATATTGTATCCAAATATAGATTTTACTGCATTTAAGAGTTCAAGAGAATGACAGGTACAAATAATATAAAACTTGTTCGTTTTCCAATGTTTTAATTTATCTTGATATCATTATATTGAAAGCAGTAAAGGTTGGACATTTTATATATTTAGTACGAT